TCAGGCACTTTGGGAATTTTGTGGTTAAGGCGCATTCTCGCCGCCACGAGGCACGATATCGCAAATTGCTCAGACTCCCGCCTAACCCCTAAATGGATTACTGTGTCTTCCACATCCGCGAAGAATTGGTCAACAGAGACGTTCGAGCCTGAATATTTTGATGCAACATTGTACATCGTGGGAGTTATGCCGGGATCCATGTTTGATGCAGCCATAACAAGGGTGAGGCCAGAGGAGGGGGGTAGAGATGGAGATGTTTTCGGTTTGTGTGAAGGAAGGGAAACTGAATCAGAAGTAGGTGGTGAAGGAGAAGGCGAACGAGAAGAAGTATGAGAAGAGTCCAAGACCTTAGGGGAGAAACCTAGCGAAGTCTGCAGAGCCTTCACGACAATCGACTTCTTTGCACGAGTAGTATCAGATGGAGAAGAGCTCATCAGAGAAATTGAAAAACAGAAAAGAATCTAACAACAGTATGCCAAAAAAATATCGAATCAAAAGAGAAGAAAAAATTCCCCTTATACACGCACAACACGACCTTTCCGTTTCCCTATGGACCTAAGCACTTGTACATATAAGAAAATGACTGACTCGTAGCACACAAATGGAGGGATCTCAAGAAAGGAATATGACCTTTGTGTACTTATGCATTCCTGTAGGCTGCTGATGACGATTCGTGAGCGGAGGCAGGAACATGAGTTCTACCACCCTGAACACCTGCTATAATGCTCTCTTATTCAATGTACAGGAAACCACTATATTATCTGGAGGTCCAGAGGAAAACTCAGTTCCTGTTTAATAGCTCTATTGATAAACAGACACGTAGTAGGCGGAGATGTGTAAATGGTAGTCGTGGCGGACGGCGGTGTCAGAACCTACGGGCGCAGAAGGGAAGGTGTTCGCGGTTCGAAGTCAGGACTCATTCTGCCTCTTTTGGGTCAGGCTGGGTCATTCCTCCCTCAGCTTTGCCCAGGGTGTGGCCCCTTGCGCCGTGTCCACAAGCGTACCCCCTCCAGGACGCATCATATCTTCGCCGCAGTGAGGTCAGGTTAGCCGGCTGCCCCAGCCTGGTCCTCGAATAATTGATGAATGTCACAGTGTGTGTGTATGTGTGCGTGTGTTTGGGCATGTGCGTACCTGTGTATGAGTGTGTGAGTGTGTGTGTGTGTGTGTGCATAAATACATAAACATATTTTTTTTTTCTTTCTTTCTTTCTTTCTTTCTTTTAACAGCTATTCATTGCAGGATATAGGCCTCTCTCAATTCGCTACTGAGAGGTTATATGGCAGTTATATATATATGACGATGGTACAGTGGTTAGCGCACTGGACTCTGACCCTCATGGTTCCGAGTTCAATTCCTCGCCGCGGCAGTCGTAAAAATGCTTCTGCTCCGAATATTGCCTCGAGCTTGTTATCACGGCGAGATAACGACATATCACCTTGAGAAGTCAAACGCAGGTGGCACAACCGTTAACGCGCCGAACCACGGTTGATTAGGAAAGGCATCCAATTAGGCAAGTGTGGCACTACCGAATAACGTCTAAATAGTGAATTGAGAGAGCCTTATGTCCTGCAGTGGAATAAAAGGCTGTTGAAAAAAAAATGTCACTCACTCACTTTGACATCCATCTTCTCCATGAAACTATATTCTCTGTTTTTCTCGTCATGTTAGCATACCCATCTTAAAATATGGGTGTGCCAACATGACACACTCAGTATGCATATTCTTTTCCTTGCCCTAGATCTTTTACCAGTTATTCTTCCTTCAACCAACTTCTTCAACAAGCCGTTTCCATCTCTTTTTGGTTTTAAGAATCTTTAATCCAATAATTGTCTCTTTTCTCCCACCATTTACAGCACTTATTTAATGGTCTTCCTTTTTGTCCACCTTATTTTTTCTCCAAAGCCGCATTTCAAAAGACAGTGCCTCAATAAAAACATTGTCAGGGAAGGTAACGGGAAACCACTCTGAATGATCTTTCCCATGTATTTATTTACGTCAGACTGCTAAGAATCTCAGCATTAGCAGAAGGACAAGTAGGAGTTGCAATTCTATTAGAAAAAAAAAACATAAAAGGGAGTGACAAAGACTGTCCTGCACAGTGAAAGATTGATTTTGGTATGATTGCAGGCTGAACCATGAGAATACAGAAATTGTGGAGGTATATGAACAATGACTGACTTGATTGAGGCAGAAAAGGGAAATGATTATTTAATAATAATGGGAGATTGCAACAGTGCCATTGGAGAAAGAAAGGATTAAACGGAAGTAGGACCATTTGGACATGGTACCAGAAATGAGGGAGCAGAAAGGCTTGTTGAGTTCTGTCAGCAGAGGAACATGAACATGAAAAAATGTGCAGATACACATGGGAAAATCCAGGAGCCGCAAGTAGATTTCTAATATACCATATCTGTACAGCGCCGTCAAAAAAAGATCTTTATACGGTTAATGACAGAAAACATTTCACATTCATGAGTTTCACTGTTGATATTTTCCTCCAGCCAATACTTTGGCATGTTACCCTTATACGTAAAAATACCAGCAGTCATTTGGGCATGGATTGAGAAAGGTTGCGACTGTGTTGGACTTGTGGGTAGGGGCATCATCATGCATAACAATATTACACTCACCAATATCAAAAAATGTATGCAAATTATTACAATGATATAATAGCCTTCCTTCACAGTTATATTCTCGGGAAGGAAGTGTAGTACTCCCCTGCTCTTATTTCCACTGAATGCAGCCCACAAAATTATACTCTAAGGGTGCTTTCTTCCACTTTTTTGATGCCCAATCTTTATAACTCTTTCGTCATTTAAACCTCTTCTCCACTGCTTCTGTGACCATTAGCTTCCAAGCAGCACGGCGACTTGGTAGATCCAGTCCCTCTGCAGGCGAATGGTCATGATTGCGACGATATGGAGAAGTTAAGGGTGCTTATTCTTACGTGGAACAGCGATTATACCAGGATCTGATATCACTTCTCGATTCAGTATCTTATCAGTCCTTAGTGATGTCTTCTTGGAAATGCCATATCTACCTTCCTCTGTGGTACCGTCTCGGATAACAGTTATGTTGCCGCCCGCCTCAGTTGATAAATAGCCTCTCTTAACACCCCCAGATCTCTGGTCACAGTAATCACCGACTCTTCTTTCTCTAGAAGAGACAAAGTACGGATTTTATCCGTATGTATCACCTTCCAATCCATTGTGCGCAGTGGGAGTGAAATTATACTTCAGACTTGCCAAAGAAGTGGAAACTTTCTCTATATCACCTTAAAAAGCCCGCCAAAGGCAGAGAGTGTGGTGAACACAGGCGTCAGGCATACGGAAGAGGATACACCACTACTAGCTCCTCTTAATTTTCTAGGGCGGGAACAGC